AAAAAAATTGCCAACCAAGAACAATATATCCTGCAAAACTCTCATTCAAATATGATGGTGAAATTAGGACATTTCCAGATAAACAGAAATTAAGGAAATATGTAAAAACCAAACCAAATTTACAAGAATTATTAAAGGGAGGCCTTCGGTTTGAGAACAAACAACATCAGATGACAGCCTGAACCTTGGACGCAAGATCGCACCAGATACCTACCTAAGAAATGAACTCTTAAGGACTATTCAAAACCAAAAGATTTACAACAGGGAACCAGAGAGGTTAATCTGTAAATAACAACAATGTCAGAACAATAAAAGAGTGAATAAACGGTGTTGGTATAGAATCTTCTAATGGAGAGGAAGACAAGGTGATACCAAGTAATAATAGACTGGTTCAGACCTAGGAAGATAAGGGTAAATTTCAAGGTAACCACAAAGAAAGTTAACAAACCTACTCATCAAAACAAAGAAGAAAGACATATAGTATCAGTAAATTATATACATACGTATTCATATGTAAGTGTGAGTTTGTATTTTTACTCTCGAGCTTTAAACTCTACTTTTTGCCTCAAATCTAACCTGGAAGGTGTTCCTACATATAAATTGAATAACAAAACAAGGCTGCAAATGTGTGAGACAAACAAGAAGCACACAAACGTGTGGGAAGAGAAACTCAAAGAAGGAGGAGAGCAGGCAAACTGAGAAAAAGAGAATCTGTTCTAGACAGGGAGGCAGGTGGGTACCTGTTACCATAAAGTCAAGTCAAATTGTTTTGGCTTAAACAAAGAATTGCGCAAGAGGGCAATCGATTTTATGTGAACAGACGTGAGTTTTTTCTATCAAGGAAATAGTGATAACTTAGAATTTCATGTACAAGCCAGCATTTGTGGGTAAACAACCAATTTCAGGATAGCATTACAAAATATCAGGTATAAACACCTCTAGAGAAAAAAAGTAATGTAAGAATGGCCAAAAGAGAATATTCAAATTTATCTCATTGTATTATTATGGTTAATTCTGTTTCTCTTTCCTTGTGTTACTGTTTTACATATCAAAAAAAAAAAGTTTTTTTCTTTGTAGATCTGACGTTTTCATTTTTATGGAGCAGTTGTTTGTACCAGACATGGGACTAGATGTCACACATACTAAGATGAGAAGACATAATCCCCGACTTCAAGTGTAGGGGAAAACTGTTGTCATCTTTCCGTTCTGTTTTCCAGGTAATAAAATGCAAAGCAGCTGTGCTATGGGAGATAAAAACACCCTTTTCCATTGAGGAGGTGGAAGTTGCACCCCCCAAGGCCAATGAAGTTCGTATTAAGGTGAAATACTTTTTTCCACTTCTATTAAATTTTAAGTTTAAAAATTTCAGAGAAAAATTAACAATGGAAACAACCAAAAATCCATTAAGAGGAGTTTTGTAAATAAATACAGTCATTTACGTTGCTTAATGTCCACGATGCATTCTGTGAAACAGGACATTTTGCCGTTTGGACATTGTGGGAACACCAAACTATATATACAGGCAGTCCCCAGGTTATGCGCCGAGTCCTGAGGAGCAACAACAGCCCTGCCGGGCAGCCCCTACTACCGCCTGCCCACTGGACAAATCCCGAGAGCTGTATACACCGAATTTAGGAGGCTGGTCTCGCTGGGGCTGTAGCGGTGGGTCAGGCTGGGCTGCACCACAAGCCAGATCGCAACTTTGTGCAAGTTGGGGAGCAAGGCAGGGGTGCTTGTGGACGAGGATACGTATTATGGAGAGATGGCCAAGGGGACTAGGCAGGGAGAGGTTGAGCTGTGTGAGGGCGCGGCTGGTGGTGGAAGCTCTGGCTGCCGCTGCCCTGTTGGTGTGGGTGGTTTCCGATCATGTGCAGCCTCTACTGAGGAATACTAGAGCAGGGAGACCACAAGCACCCTGGCCCAGCTGCTACCCCCACCCCCACCCCGTCAGCGCCCTTAGTAGGAGTGGAGAAGGTGCAGCAGGCCCTGCCCTGCACCATGAGTGAATGGCTTCACAGCTCCTAGGTGGGTGACTGAAGCCAGGAAGAGGAGAGGAGGAGGTGAAAGAGAAGGTGCTGCAGGGATTGGGTTGTGCCCTGTAGCCTCGCTGCTTGTTCTCTATGGGGTTTAGGGCCTTTAAAACAATTAGGGGGAAATAAACAAAAGGAGAGCGTCTTTCCCTTAAAAAAAAAAAAATTATGGAACCATGGACATATATGGGATCCGACGCTGCCCAAACAGTCGTTAAGTGATGCATGACTCTAACGATAATCTAGACAATGAATTTACGGTTGTTGTCAAGGAAAGGTATAAACGGCACATATTGTTAAATTTAAGAATTCACCAAAGAGTAATACCATATAATCCCAGTAAAAAAAAAAAAAAAAGTATGTGTTGGTATAGAAAAAAAGAAAATATGTATCAGCTTTTAAAATCAATAGCATTAGACAGTAGAATTTAAGTGACTATTTTCTTGGTTTTAATCTTCAATTTCTAATTCAGTAAAGAGCATGCATTTTTGTGTGTTTCAAATCTACATATTTCAAGAACAATTATTTCACAGATTATGCCAGAACATTTAATGCAAGAAAGGAAAGTAGATGGGGGCTTTAGACTGGATAATCTCCGGGATAAACTGAATCTGTGTACTTGGGAAGAGTAGGGGTCAGCAAAACTCTTTAGAAGCTCAGTTTCAGAGAATTCTGGACATTAAGTCCATCTGAGGGCCATAATCTTTTATGAATTTAGTCATTCTTCTTTTACCCTGTAGATAGTGGCTACAGGAATCTGCCGCTCAGATGACCATGCGGTTAATGGACAACTGTTCTTCCCGCTTCCTGGGATCTTAGGCCATGAGGGAGCTGGCATTGTGGAGAGCATTGGAGAAGGAGTGACTACAGTGAAACCAGGTACAGAATTCACACTCATGGAATGTGTTTCAGTTCAGGCCCTGCAAAAGCATCCAGCCTGCATGAGGAAACTAAGGCAATGAAACATGAAACGCCTTGCATGAGGTCCCAGCAGCAGCAGATAGCTAAGATGGGGCATGGACAGAGAACTTCTTTCCTCTCTCCCTGGCTTGCTTCCTTCATGCTTTCGGGCATGTGTGTCGTCAGGCAATCACGTGTGCTCTCCTCCAAGTTATTTATTAAGTACTACTAGATGTCAGGCACCAGGTTAGAGCCTACAGATACATGAGGATCAAAAGAGACGCAGTGCCTAAAATCATGGAGTTCATAACCTTAGAACTTCCATTTTAGTGTTCCTGAGCGCTGCCTTCTGTCGGGACCAAACAGAACTACAAATAAGACCAGGAATAAAACATAACTCTGTGTCCTGAGTGTCTGGATCAGTGTATGGAAACTGTGCTTTGCTGAGGTTACGGGGTGGGGGCTGTGAGGGTTTGGCTGAATCAACATGGTCTCTTCTTTGGTGAGAAGTGGAGCCCATTCCATTTCCTCCGTTCTTGAACATGGAACAAAGGAAACAGACCATTTGAAAGGAAATGAAACAGACCTAGCAAAACGGACTCTATGGAAGGAACAAACAGTTAATGTGATTGACTGCTAAGGAAAAGGTTGGAGATTCGAGTCTCTCTAGAAGCACCTTGGAAGAAAGGCCTGGTGATCTACTTCTAAAAATCAGCCATAGAAAACTCTACAGGGGGTCGCCATGAGTCAGAGTGAACTCCAAGGCAACTGTTTCTTTCTTTTTTTTTGGTTAACAGCAGACAACCTGCAATAAACTGTTTTATTACCTTTAACGATAGTTAACTGTATCTCATTACATATTGTTGCCCTATTTATTTTTGATATTTATTTTATTCTAATTTTATTGTGTATTAATATAGGTAAATAGTTTTAAAGGTAAAGAGTGAATAAAAACCAAACTAAACCTGTTGCCATCAAGTCGATTTCAACTCATTGCAATCCTGTAGGACAGAGTAAAACTGTCCCTTAGGGTTTCTAAGGAGTAGCTGATGGATTCAAATTGTTGACTTTTTGGTTAGCAGCTGAGCTGTTAACCACTGTGCCACAAGGGCTTCAAAGGGTGAATACAATAGAAATATTCATGCTATCATTTTCACATAAAGTTTATCAATTAAATATAATGGCTTAACCATTTTTTCTTGGTCTTGTGAAATAGGTTGCAAACATGATTAAAAATAAAAATTATGTTTAATTCTAAAAAATCACTTTGGTAAGTAGATTTACCCATCCCCCACCCCCTGTGAACCGAAAAAAGTAAACTGTCTGGTTTGAGTTTCAGCTCTTAGTATTTCCTTTAGTTAGAAAAAAAGTATAATAAAATGGCACTCTTAATTTTCACCCTTGCTCTCTCCACTATAAGAGGAAAAATAGATAATTCACAAAGTAAGTAATTGGCTATAAACTTTTGAAAGTCAGTTTTTATCCTACAAGAAAGTACCCACCTCATTGCTAAGCAATGAAGCTTTCTAAGGAATTTTTCTTTTTTTTTAATTGTACTTCAAGTGAAGGTTTACAGAACAAATAGATTCTCATGAAACAGTAGTACACAAATTGTTTTATGACATGGGTTAACAACCCCACGACATGTCAACCCTCTCC